TATATATCTTAGGACACTTCCACAGTAGTAGGATTCTGTGTGGCTTTTCAAAAGGCCTTCAGTGTTGGTTATCCTTCCTCTCATCCCTCTACTCTGTGCTGTCACCCCTTCCCCATTTAATCCTCTTCTTCTAATTCCCACTTACTTCTTATAGCACCATGCGCTATGTCCCCATCCCTGAAAGATCACCTACACCGTCCCTTACCAGATACTTAACCTCTGTTGGTATTCTAAACAAAACCTTCATATTAAAAGCATAAAAGCCACATAGAAGAGAAAACATGCATTGTCTTTCTGGGCCCGCACTACCTTGCCTGGATGATCCTTTCTAGATCCATATAATTACCTGAATATTTCATAATTTCATTCTTCTCTAGAGCCAAATACTATTTTGTTGTAAATGAACTACATTTTCCTTATCCACTCATCACTCGATGGGCATCTTGGCTATTTCCCACTACTGAATGCTATGAATAAAGCAGCAACGGACATGATGAGCAAGTATCTCTGTAGTAAGATGCTGTGTCCTGTGAACATGCCCAAGAGTGGTGGAGCTGGAGTCTTGCGGCAGATCCACTTTCAGCTTGTTGAGGAACCTCCACAATGATTTCCATAGTGGCTGTACCAGTTTACACTCCCATCAGCCGTGAGTAGTCTACCTCATGTCCTGAATCCTTGCCAACATCTGTTCTCATCTGCTTTAATAATCTCGACAGATGCTTGTGTTATTATGGGTGTTATTGGCCCCTTGGCTCGTGATTTTTCCTTCTAGTGTTTTCTGTAAGGTTTGTGGCAACGTATTGTTTAAATCTGTTTTTGTCCTGGAATATCTTGTTTTCTCCATTGATGGTGAATGCAAGCTTTGCTGGATATAGTAGTCTGGGTTTGCATCCACGTTCTCTTAGTGTCTGTAGCACATTGATCCAAGACCTTCTGGCTTTCATGTTTTCCATTGAGAAGTCATGTGTAATTCTGATAGGTTTCCCTTTATATGTTACTTGACCTTTTTCCTTTGCAGCTCTTAATATCTGTTCTTTATTCTGTACGTTTTGTGTTTTGATTATTATATGGTGTGGAGCCTTTCTCTTGATCCAGCCTATTTGGTGTTCTGTATGCTTCTTGTACCTTCATAGAAGTATCCTTCTTTAGGTTGGGAAAGTTTTCTTCTATAATTTTGTTAAATATATTTTCTGGACCTTTGAACTGTAATTCATCACCTTCTTCTGCCCCTATTATTCTTAGGTTTGGTCTTTTCATGGTGTCTCAGATTTCCGGGATGTTTTGTGTTAAGAATTTATTGGATATACTGTTTTCTTTGATCAATGAGTTTATTTCCTCTATAGTATCTTCAGCGTCTGAGATTCTTTCTTCTATCTCTTGTATTTTGTTGGTTATACTTGTCTCTGTAGTTCCTGTTCATTTACCCAGATTTTCCATATCTAGCCATCCCTCGGTTTGTGTTGTCTTCATTGCCTCCATTTCAGTTTTCAAGTCTTGAACTGTTTCCATTACCTGCTTGATTTCTTTTCCTTGGTTTTCTAGGGTATCTTTGAGGGATTTATTCATTTCTTCTAACTTTTTATTAGTCTTCTCATCCATTTCTTTAAAGGAGTTTTTCACATCCTGTTTAAGGGTCTCTATCACTTTTATAATATATGTTTACAGTTGATTTCTTCTACTTCTTCTGGATTAGGATGTTCAAGTCTTCCTGTTGCATGTTTGCTTGATTCTGGTGTTTTCATGTTGTTTTCAGGATGTTGGAGGAATCTTGCATTGGCGCCTGCCTATCTCTTCCTTCAAATGTGGTCAGGAGAGTCTCGGCGGATTGGTCCAATCTTTGCTGTGGCTGACTGTGTACTTGGGTTTTTTTTCTTGTTCTGCCCTCTCTTATGTCCCCTCAGTATTGAAGTTGGCTCTCAGATCCCCTCCTCCCTTAAGTAGGCTGTGGTGGTGGATCTAATGAAAGGAGTGATTAGGGCCGAGATGGCATAGGAAAAAATAGAGAAGGCCAGAAGCTGGGAAGAAGCCCCGCTGAATGGCCAAAAAGTTTAGGGGTTTGGAGGTTGCCTGTATTCCTTTCCCTGGGTGTCTGGCCAGCTGGGCGGAAACACACTTCCCCCTCCGCATGGATCTCCCGGTACTGGATCAGGGCCACTTGCTGGCCAAGGACTTCTCAGACAAAAGGGCGGGCTTGGTAGTTGTTGGCTCAGTGGAACAAAGAAACCTCTGCAGCTGTTGCATATACCACTGTGACCCCAGACCCTCATCCCGAAACAGGCTGAGTTGGGGGATCCTAGGACCCTGCAGATGGAAAGGAGTGCTTGGGGGCAAGCTGGCATGGGATAAGTGGAGAAAGCTGGTAGCCAGGGATAAGCCCCGCTGAATGGACAGAAAGTTTAGGGGATTGGAGAATGCCTGTACTCCATTTCTGGGGTGTCCGGCTGGCTGGGTGGGCACACACTAAACTCTCTGGATGGATCTCCTGCTACTGGATCAGGGCCACTTGGAGGCCAAGGACCTCGCAGACAAAAGGGCAGGCTTGGTAGGTGCAAGCTTGTGTGGAACAAAGAAACTCCTGCAGCTGTTGCACTGACCACTGTGTCCCCAGACCCTCAGCCCCGAAGCAGGCTGAGTTGGGGGATCTTAGGACCTCGCAGATGGAAAGGATAATTATGTATTTTTAAATGACTCTAAGTTCCTGCTTTATTTCCAGAGTGACAGGATTGTAGGCATGTGCCATCACAGCCACTTTGTGCCATGCAGGGTCGTGTGGAACAAAGAAGCCCCTGCAGCAGAACCTGGAGGTGCCCTGTGCTCCCTACCCAGGCTCCCTCAGACCCCCCCCCCCAGACAATAGGGAAGGCTTGGAGGGGGGCAGGGTCCTGTGGAACAAAGAAGCTCGTGTAACAGGAGCAGGAGGTGCCTTGCACTCCCTTCTGGGGACTTTCCTGCCCAGTGGGCAGACAATCACCCCTCTGGGTGGAAAGCCTCAGTACAGGAGCAGGAACTGTTCCTGGGCCCAAGGATCTAGCTTGTATTAAATTGTCATAAAACTAGCCAGCCCATATACCCGTGGGTCCCAGCTGCTCCTCTGCCAGGTTTCAGCCTCTCTCTCCTTCTCATTCCCGAACCTCCCCACTCCTGAATCTCTTGCCTTTTCTTCCCTCTCCTTTTCCTCACATCTGTGGCTGTCACAGGCCAGAGAATGCAATGGAGACTCTGGAGAAATCACATCTGCAGCCCCTCAAAGACTCGGGCTGGGGACTTCAGAGACACACAGAGACATGCACAGGACCATGCAACACTATTCTTCTCATTTAAATGTGAACACATTCACATATAAAGCTGAGAACATACAGAAAGGTCTCCACAATTGAAGATCAAACATGAAAACTAACCCCGGGCATTCAAGAGACTAGCAAGCACATCTAGACTCAAACACAGCTGCACATTCATATTAGAAGTGACCTTTTATATATAAAGCACACAGTACACCTACACAGGTCCATGCATGAGTAAATACTCACCACCAGAAATCAAGATGCATTACTCTCTATGCCCTTTGTCCTGTGTATCTGTTTCATGGTGTCCTAGGGTTAGGGTGTGGGTAAGGAGATAGGGAGTGAGTAGGTCACCGACAGCCCAATCAGGAGCTCACACTCCTAGACAGTGATGAAACAGGAGGCAGGAACAGCTGAAGTTGCTAAACTGGGTGGAGATGCAGGTCCAGCATAAAAGTCCAGCTCGAGTGTGCAGTGAAGTGGATGGTGCTCAGACCAGGACCATGGAACCCAGTGTCCTGCTCCTCCTTGCTCTTCTCGTGGGCTTCTTGCTACTCCTGGTCAGGGGCCATCCAAAGGCCCATGGCCACCTTCCACCAGGACCCCGACCCCTGCCCCTCTTGGGAAACCTGCTACAGATGGACAGAGGAGGCCTCCTCAACTCCTTTATTCAGGTAAGACACGCACAGGGCCTGTGCCTTAAAGGATTAGCCCCATGTTTGCTCCTGGGGATCACTCAGTGGGATAAGCAAGGGGCTCCTTCCAGGTCTTAGGTTCAGGTTGGAAGGTTGCTGAGTGAAAGGTGAGGTGCTGATTGGTGACAGATGGTGCTCGGATCAACAGATGGAATCCTGTGGGACACTATGCTTGGAGTGTGAAAGGTGTCTGGGTATCCAGGTATGGGCCAAGGGATTACAATTTTTGATTTGGTGCATCTTTTTCCAAAAGAAAAAAAATGTCAGAGGCATCCACAAATAAGGTTTGCTACTGCCAGCACAAGAGATTAGCTTGCTATGTTCTGGAACAAAGGGGAGGAGAGGCAGGTCAGGAGCTGACAGAGGTAGGGAGACCTTATCAGTTATAAACCCAAGGACCATCCAAGGAGCCAACCCTGGCACCATCTTTACCAGGCTTCACTAGTGAGATTTCATGTTCAATTACAACTTGTTTATTAGTAATTGATTAGCCTCTTTGGCCTCATTTCCTGTTTAGAGAGCTGATATATTGGCAACAATCCCAACTTCCTGTTATCCCTTGGTTTTTAATATATCACCCACCTGAACCCATGGTGTATGCATTTGTTTTTTTAAAAATTTAGTTTTTGAGACAAGGTCATCTTCCTTTGCTCAGGCTGATGATCCTTCCAAGTTAACATCTCACATGCTGCATTGACAGATGCGTGGTACACCTGGCCACAAGGGTTTTAAAAATGTGCTTCCCACAAGTTGGAAAGGTCAAGTTAACATCATATATTTTTCATTTTTAAAACTTTTGCTTTGTTTTGTTTCTTGAGACAGGGTTTCTCTGTGAAACGGTCCCGGCTCTCGTGGAACTCACTCTGTAGATGGCCTCAAACTCACAGAGATCCAACTGCCTCTGTGTTCTGAGTGCTGGGATTAATTTTGTTCTTTGAAAATATTTCTTCCTTTCTTATTTTGCTGTCCATGTCTCTATGTCTAAAGGTCATTCCTACTTGGAGGTAATTATGGTTGCTTGAGTAAGTATGGATGTAGGAGCTATTTACTGTCATGTGAGCAACTTATGAACAGTACATCACTGAAGAAAGTGGCACCTCCCCCAGCACCCTTACGCCCAGAACTCACAGTGAGGGCTGGTGACATCCTGTCATGATAGCAGGACATGCTGCATCTTTTCCCTGTAGGGACAGTCATCAAGTCATATGCAAACAAGGTTGCCAGGGGCTAGGTGATGTGCACTGGGCAGGGAATTCCTGCCCTCTATGTAGTTCTTTAAAATACTGTTCAGACCACGATCTAATGTATGTGCCAATGTCAGGGAGCTGAGCTGCCTTCCTTGGCCCTCAGGAGCTGAGAGTCTGTTTGCAGATACAGAATAAACTCATAAAAATTTGGCAAGTTAATTGCTCACCTGAAGGATATTGGATATAAGCAAAGCAATAGGAATTTTAAGATATGTTGAGAGTTCAAACACACTTATGTAAGAGGCAGGACTTCAACAAATCACAACAACTTTCAAGAACGATGACGGGTATGGAAAAGAAGCCATTCCTGAGCAGTAGCTGGTTCTAGGGGAAGAGTGGAGCCAGGTGGATGAGGTCACAGTGTGAATGGGGAGAGGCCGGCACTGAATCTTCAGGTCATGGGGATGAGCCAGCTTAACCTATGCCCAGGATAGTAAGAACTGAAGTGATTTAACTAAGCAGGCAAGAAAAAAGTCTCCTCATGTCTTCATCTGTTTTCTTTTTGCTGCCACAAAAGTCCAGAGGCTAAGTTCTTTATAAATTAAAGGCTTATCCAGCTCATAATCATCCTATGTGGCAGCCTAATATCAAGACTTCAAGTCTTCCAATCTTTGATAAGAACCCTTCTTGTGTGTCACAATACAACACAGGACAGGAAAAGCTGTTACATGTAGTAGATGCTAACCATGTCATGTGGGCCTTGTTTTATAATTATCCATTTTCTGAGAATCCAGACCTCTCTGTGAGACTAGCATTAACCTATTCTGTGAATCTGCTCTGAAGTCCCAGGGCCTCTTACTAGTTTCCAGCCCCCAAGGGCTCTGCCACTTCTCAACGCAACCACATTAGGGACTAGTTCTCTAGCAGAGAATGCACGAAGGCATAGCATGTGGAACAGGCAAAAAGAAAGAGCAGCTGGTCCAGACAGATGCCTCTGGATGCCAAATGGTAGTGATGTCCTGTGGTGAACCCCAGACACAACCAGCTCGGCTCTCTCAAGTGTGTTGTGGATGAGCCTGGAGCCTGACTTAAATACAGTTGCTAAAGTCTGTGTAAGCTCTGCATTCTCCTAAACCATGTGTGGATTCATGTGAGGTAGCCGGGAAATCCTCTGAAATGTTTCCTGAAAGCATCTCTTGTGACTCAAGAAGCTGAGATCTCTTCTAGGCACCTGTGTTGATGTAAGATGATTTTGTGAGCTTTAGTCATGATGTGTCTGTTACAAAGATTGAGTCTTAATGATGACATTCTTTTGGCCAATGGAGAGACACAAAGAGAAAGTGGACCATCAAAGCTACTGATAGGATTAGAAATCACCAGCATTCTACAGTGTCTCAATAACACTTTAACATGACATATTGGTGTATAAAACAGTTCCACACTAGTCTGGAATGGAGTATAATAAAGGTTTATTTCTGGAGATAATCTCACTGAAATAGTAGCAAACCACCGTCCTCCGCTGGGATCTGCTGGGAACTGGAACCAACTTCAGCAGTCAAGAGGCTGTGCATGCTTCTTGTCTGCATCTAAAATACATGAGACCATGCCCAAAGTGGGCTAATATCTTAAAGGCTACTGGCTGAAAGAGTTCCCACAGCACCTCCCCATTTTATCTAAATAAGAGAGTTCTAAGCCTAATACAATACTATATACAATAAGAACAAATATTAAATATTATCCAGGGAAAAGAAGAGGCAAAACATACATAAAATTAGAATTATAACCTGCACGAACTGATGGGGAACCACTGTTAGCCAATGATCTGTAAGAGCTTAGACCAAGTTAGACCAAGTTAGAAAAAGATTTATTCTAAGGCAATATCTTCTCTCTGCATTACAATTCCTGTAGGAGAATATTTGGAGGCTAATATGCACTTGAATGCAGTTAAGATTCAGATATACCCAATCCACATGTGCCTCCTCTAATTTCTCTTCAATCAAAGTCAATTCTTTCTCTTCTTCAGCTCTTAATTCTCTGGGACTATTTAAACCTTTGCCACCAACTAAGATTTTGTTTAAATGAATTATTAGATCAGGTGTTATCCCAGAAGTGGGTCATAGATTGGAAATGTCTCCTAGCAATCTTTAAAAGTCATCAGGAATCTACAATTGATCTCTCCTAATTTTTACTTTTTCTGTTCTAATTTTCTGTAAACCTATTTTATAATCTGGATAATAGAATCTCCTCTCTGTATTATTTTTTTCAAGAGAAATTTGTAATCCCTAACTAGGAAAAGTTTTCTTTACTTCTTCAAACATTCTTTCTAAATTATCTACATTTGTATCAGATAGTAAAATGTCCTTTAAGTAATGGTAAACTATAGATTTACGTATTATTTCCAATATCTATCTTACAAAATATTGGCAGAGGGTGGGGCTATTTAACATTCACAGTGGTAGGATCTACCATTGATATCTCTTAGTAGACTGAGAACTATTCTAAGTAGGTACCATTTGAAGGCAAATTTTTCTCTGTCTTTTTCTTATATAAGTATAGTGAAGAAACAATCTTTTAAATAAATAACTATAAGAGGTCATCCTTTAGGCAATATGGAAGACAAAGGAATTCCAGATTATAGAGAGCCCATAGGTTGAATCACCTTATTAACAGCGCTTAGATATGTCACCATTCTCCATTTTCCAGATTTTGTTTTAACAACAAATACAGGAGAATTAAAATGGCTGGTTGATTCTTTAATATGGTGAGCATCTAATTGTCCCTGTACCAGCTATTCTAAAGCCTGAATTTTCTCTTCTGGTAAAGGCCATTGTTTATCCCACATTGATTCTTTTGTTAACCACTTTAAAGGAAGGGCTCTTGGTACCTCTGAAGGTTTGCTAGATATATTGTCTTTTTGAACAGCCTGAATGTTTGGTGACTGTTTTTTTTATAGTACCTTATAATACCCTTTCCAGAAACATGACTTTGTTTATGTTCTATTTCTGAGACTGCAGGAATGTTAGTCTGGGTATTCCATTTCTGCAAGAGATCATGACCCCATAGAGTCACTGCTATATTAGTCACATATGGCCTTAGCCTTCCTCTCTGTCCTTCTGGTCTGATACATTCAAGCCATCTCATGCTTTGTTTTACTTGAGCTAGTGTTCCAATTCCTAGGAATTAAACATTGATCTTCTGAAGAGGCCAATTTTGATGCCCAGATTCTGGTTTAACAATAGTCATATCTGGACTTGTGTTCAGTAATACTTCAATTACAATGTTATTTATTTGTACTCTCAGCTTTGGTCTTTGATCATTTATAGAAGTCTGTCAAAAATATGTTTCCTATTTTCTATTTGAATATTTCATTCATCTTCCATGTTCATTCTATCATCTAGAACTGTATGTTTTTTTTAACAACAGGCACTGGATTTTTAATTTTTTTCTTGGGGAGATGTGTCCTCCACAGTCATTGGGAATGATTGGATACTGTTTGACTTGGGGGCCTGTGAGAGGCCCCTGCAGAGCTTCCTAATGCTAACAAGTTGCCTTGTTTGTCTCTTTTTGGTCTAAATTCATTGGTACAATGTTGGCCTTTGCCATATCCTCTACATAATCGAGAAGGTTGACACCTTCTATCTTTGTTATTCCCAGGGGAAACATTATTTTTAGAAATGCCTTGTCTACAATCCTTTCTCAGGCATCCTATTCTACCACAATTTGGTATTTTGATGTTTCTTTATACCTTTGGAAATTGCTTTTCCTACCCAAGCTTTATTACTCAACATTGGT